AGTCTCCGATATTACAGATCAAGAAGCACCACAAGCCAGACACGAAGCATCTTTATTCTTCACCCCCAGCAGATAAGCAAGCATGAAGAAGTCGGCCATGCCTCCTCCTCTAGGCTTTCTGAATGAAGTACAAATATGAGACGTACAGCAGGTACCCACACACATGAAAAGCTTGAAATATGAAGGCAGCCTCCTGGAGGACTGCTGTGCACCCTTAGTCCTAACTGAGGTCATACTTGCCTGCAAGTTGTCTCTAATGTTAGGTATTTCCATAATAATCTCAGAAATAACCTTTTCTTTTTTCCTCTATAGAACAGTAAGAAAAAGGCAACGCGTTAAGACTCTACAAGGGCAACGTTATCTGACAGCTTGAAATTCTGCCAAAATGAAGTCTTAAAACTGGAAAGTGCTGTATGAGTTTCTAGAGTAAATAACTGAAAATACACAGCGGTAACTATACGATGGCTTTTAATGGCCAATGTAACCATTACACTGTTGATGCTTTAAAAAGCTGGGCTTTCTAATTATGCCATACTCACATGGTGTTCTAACAGAACTGCAAAATGTACTTGCATATCCCTAACCTTCTATGAGGGAGTAGTTTTATACAGAAAAAGACAATTAGGAATGATTTATTCCAGGTCTTTGTTCCCAAGCCCAAGGCACACTGAAGGTCTGATCCTGTGTGGGGGCACACCACAGCAACTGAACACCAGGAACTGGTTGACCACCTTAAAACCAATCGATCACTGTCAACAAGTGCTGATCAGCATCTTTACAGAGATCACTGCCCCTTGGCAGCCCATACCGCCCTGCATCAGATAACCCACAGTCACATTCCTACTTACAGGTCCTGCCAGACAGATCTGACCTAACACTGAGACTCTACTCAAAAGAGTGCTGATGTGTCCAGCGCGACAGCCTAGTGGCTAAATCCTTACTATGCATGCATGCGCCTGGATCCTGTATGGGTGCCAGTCTGTGTCTCAACTGCTCTACTTGCCATCCAGCTCCCTGATTGTGGCCTGGGAAAGCAGCTGAGGGTGGTCCAAGGCCTCGAGACCCTGCATTCACATGGGTGAATTTGAATAGATTGGCTCAGCTCCAGCCTATGTGACCACGTGGTGAGTGAACCAGAGGATGGAAGATCTTACTGTTTCTCCTTCTCTCAGTAAATCTGATTTTCCAATAAAGAAAACACTTTAAAAAGATATTGTTCCTAAAAGAATGACAATGCAATTGTGGACACCCACCCTCCACAGACACATGTATTGATAAGGCTGGTGCCACTGCTGACTGAAGGGGTGAAATGGGATAACCACTCACAATAATTTATTCCTCCTAGAAACTAAGAAAATGTCCTGGGATGCAGGAGGTGCGAGACAAGGCAAATGCAAACCTCTCCACGTGTAGACACGGACACAAGGCTTCCATACTGATGATGCCAAGAACACACCCATGAAACCAGTCCTTCACAAAATGGGTGACAATGACACGCACAATCATACCAGAAGAGACCACTGGCCAAAAGCTTCTATTTGCCTTTGGCATCCGTTTTAAAGACCATGCCTATCCAGCACACTGGCAGCACAAGATGTTGGTGAGAGCACAGAGCAAAAACAATTTGTCTCATTTATGCTGGTGGGGATGCAAAATAGTATGAGCACTTTGGAATACAGGTGAACAATTTCCAATCAAACCCTGATGACCTATCTCAGCCATAATGCTCCTCTGTATGTACCTGAATGAGTCAAAATCTTCTGTCTTGACAAAAACTCGCATGTGAATGTTTACAGCAGCTTTAATCATAATGCCAAAACTTGGAAGCAACCCTCCGATAGGTGAGTGTAGATACTGTGCCACATCCAAACAATGAGATGATATAGAACACTAACATGAAGCTATAGATGACAAAACCAAACAGGGGAGAACCTTAACTGCTTATTTCTAAGCGAAAGGACCCATCTGAAAAGCTTGCATACTCTACCACTCCAAGTACAGACAATCTCAGCAAGCCAAGACTATTGAGAATAAAACATCAGTGGTTGCCAAGGGCTGGGAGGAGGAAGATGATGAAGAGGCAGTGTGTGAAGGACTTCCAGGGCAGTGACACTACTGTGTAAGGTGCAAAGATGTCAGGATACATCCGCCCCAACACAGTGAGGGACGTGACACCATGAGCAAACCTGAGTATGAACCGTAGGCTGGCAGGTTCATCAGCTATAACAAGTGAACCACTTGGTGCAAGATGTCCATGGTGGGGAACCCAGTGTTGGGACAGCCAGTAGGAGAGTACCTGTATTCAGTTTTACTGTGAACTTTAAAACTGCTCTAAAAAGGAAAAATCTACTGGGGAAAAAAAAAAAAAGTAACAGAGGGCATGTGCTTCTTCTCCAGGGTGTGGCTAAAAGGCAATGTGCCTTCCTAAACAGGCTCAAGGAGGAGGAATGCAGGGACTTGAGCTCAGTGACACACAAGTTAATATTGTAATCAGAGGAAGTAATAAAGTCAGGAAGGCAAGATTGGATTACCATACCATCTTCGCTTTAAACTAACTGGCAGAGTGAAAAAGCTAGCAAGGCCTTCATTTCATCTAAAGATGTGGGCCTTTTTTGCAAACTTCACAGGCAGACAGGACAGAATTGAAGTCAGAGTTGTCAGGAATTCTACACTTGAACCTTGATATCATCTCTGAGAACCCTATTGGTCAACAGCTGTCTTAGAGCCACTGACCCACTTCACGGAGTCACACACACTTCTGCTCCCAGATTACAGGCCGGAGAGATGAGGGCCAGCCCCGCACAGTCTTCCAAAATCTTGACAACATTTCTTTTCTGCATGTGTCATTAGCTCCCTGGCAGCACTTACCAAACACTAGGAAACCAGGCGACACAAGCACTCAAGCACTTGTGTGTGTTGCCCTGAGCAGCAGCCAGAAATTACAGAACCCAGAAGCTTCTGGTAGTCGTACAGTTATCTGGAGCAATTTAAAAACTTGACTTGGCAAACCTGTAGAACTCTTCGCAAAGCCCATTCGCTCGGACGTCAGTTCTAGGTGAGGCCAAGTACTAAGATGCCATCACCTTACACACTCTCGGAGCCAAGTCCTCACAAGGCCCCTGATCTTACGCATCAGGAATGAACATGTGTGTCCCTGCAAAGCCAACATGCTGGTGTACGATTTACAGACCCACTTATGGTCCAAGTGTCAAACAGATCATCCTTTCAGAGTCTCCTACCTCTCACTGCCCCCCTCCCAAACAAACCAAAACAGCCTGAATTGCTCCCTGTATGCCTGCAGCTGAAGATCCTGTTTCACATAAGGCTTACTACTGTCCAAGACTCACAATCTCCAAGAGACCAACACTCTCACACACCTTCCACAGCCGGCCGCCACCCACTCCGCCCTGTCTCCAACCCTCAGCTGGCTCCCAGTCCAGAAAGCCACAGAGGCGGCTTGGCAGTGGCTCTCCCCCTTCCCTACTAAAAAGGGTGCTTCAAGGACTTAACAGCCTACAGACCTGAGACTCTCTCTCCAAGTTTCATTCACCGGGCCTGAATCTGGTGGGCAAAGTCTCTTTTTGGCCACTTGCTATTCAGGCCTGTGGATCTCTCTGAAAACTCTGGGGGGAACCTGCTGTGTAGGGAAATCGAGAAGGCCATCTAAGACTTAAGCCAGGGAGCCAGGCTTGGGACCAGCTCTTCCTCCCTCCCTCCTTCAGGGAAGATTTTCCTGCCACAGTAGCATCCCAACCTTGCCCCATCTCATTTCCTCAATCCACCCCCAAATTCGGCTCCCTTTCTCCACCAGCAGGTTTAGCAGAACCAGCTATTTTGAGACAACCACGGTAGTTGATTCCCTTGGTTTCTCAGTATTTTTTCCTCTGCTCCCAGCTGGGAAACCGTTTTGATCTGAAGAGTATGGTCTGCACAGGGTTGCGCATGTTAAGGATGGTGGCAAGCTGGCAGGCATGTTAGGTAGAGCGCACAGCGTGCTTATCCCAGCCTCGCCTCCTCAGAGCCGGCTAAGGGGCCTTTCTAAAGGCCGCCCACAGTCGAGGGGAGAGGGACCCACAGCCGGCATCTTGCCCTCAAATGGCAAGCCTCCTGGGTTCTGATACAAACAGCGCACGTGACCTGGTGACCTGTTCCGCGGTCCACTACCTGGACTCCAGCGGCCAGATACTACCAACCACTGGGCCACCAATGAAGCAAAGACACGCAGATCCCGCCTGGCCCGCCAAGGGCACTGTCCCAGCCGCTACCCTTCGCCCCGGTTCCGAGCCAGCACGAGATGCTGCTCTCTCCCTACAGCGTCCCGCCCACCCTCCCATCCCCAGAGGGAAAGGCTTCCAGCCGAGGTGGGAGCTGAAGCTCCGGCAGCCGCCCAGCCCTTCTCGAAGCCGGCCAGAAAACTCCACTTCCCGGATTCCCGGCCACTCTCTCCCGCCCCCTCCTCGGGCGATCTAGCCAGAGCCGTCCCGGTGCCAGCTGGGTGCCCAGCCCAGCTACGCACCCGGAGCCAGCCCCCCCACCCCACCCCGAAACCGGCCCCAGCTTCCTCCCTGGTCCCCCAGCCTGGGGCTCTCCACACATTCAGGACGCACCCCTCAGGCACACTAAGACCGAAAAAAAAAAAAAATCCCAAACTCCCACCCCGCCCCCCAGCCATGCCGCCAGCTTCCAGACCTGCCCCCGGAGGGGCCTCTGCCCCCAGAGTCGAAAGGCGCCCTGGGTGGCTGCCCCCTGGAGTCTCCCTCCGCAGCCCGCAAGGGTTCTGGGCCCCCAAGGGGGTGAGACCCGCGTGGAAGCGAAAGGACACCTCCCTCGTTCCTCCCTCCCCCTCCAACAGCCCCGCCGAGGCCAGCAGGTTCCGCCGGGAATGTGCTGGTCGTGGACCGCTGGGGGCTGCCCGGTCCCGGGTGCATCCTCTTCCCGGGGGGCTGGCAGGGGGCCGGTGCAGCGGCGCACCCCCGGGGGTGGGGGTGGGGGGCACTCACGATGGTCACGCTGGCTTTGCGCAGGTCGCGGTTCTCCTCCTGCAGCGCTTTGCACTTGAGTTTGTAGGTCTCCAGCTCGATCTTCAGCACCTTGTTCTCCTGCTGCAGCGAGGCCAGGCGGTTGGTGAGCTCCTCCAGGCGGAACGGCGAGATGACAATGCCCCCCGACTTCCCACCGCCGCCGCCTCCCCCGGGGCCGCCGCCGCCGCCCGAGGTCGACGAGCAGGACGACTGCATGGCGGCCGAGCTGCTGCTGTTGCCCCCCGCCCCGTCCGTGTCGCTCTCGCTGGCGCTGTCCGCCATGGCCGCGGCGGGCTTGGGGGAAAGGAGGAGGAGCAGGGAGGCGGCGGCGGCGGCGGCGAAGGCTGGGCTGCGAATGAGTGGGCGCCGGGCGAGCACAGGGGAGCGCCGAGCTGGGCGCCTGGCACCAGGGCGCAGACTCGGAGCGGCGGCGAGAGAAAGAGAGGGAGCTTCCCGCTGCCAAGGGACCGCCTCTGCCAGAGAACAGAGACCCCGCCCGGACTCGGGCAGTATTGCACCGGGGCTCGCTCCAGCCGGGCCTGGCGCGCTCGCTAGGCCGGCCCTTGCAAAGCGTGCCGAGAGCTCCGGGAGCCGCCGGGACGCTGGCCGGCAGGGCTGTCCGCGGAGGCGACGGCGGCGACGGCAGGCCGGCGCGCCTCTCCACCGGCTCGCGGGCCGCACGTGTTCCGAGGGAGGGCCTCCGAGTCCCCCGAGTCCGCGGCTGCCCAACCTCTTCCGGGCTCGCGGCCGCTCCCGGGAAGATGGAAACCCAGTGCCCGCAGCCACCTCGCAGGTGCCGGGGACACGTGGAAGGATCAGCTCGGCTCCGGGATCCAGCCCCGGCCGTGCGGTGGCCCGGTGTTCCGCCGACTGGGCGTGCGCCTGTCTCCCTCTGTCTGTGTCACGCAAAGCAGCAGCAGTTTCACCTTCGCGAGCAGAGTGCTCGGCTGGAAGCTCTCTGCTTTGTGGAGAGCCGAGAGTCCGAAAAGTTCTGCAAGGAGGTTGAACCGGATAGAACAGCCGCGGCTACAGGTTAACCTCGCTAAGTAGGAATTTACCGAAGACTCGCACCGGCTTTTAATAATCTCATCAGCGCGCTGTGCTTAAACAAGGTGCCAAATTTTTTTTCTGTTTTCCCTTTGCATCTTGCAAGCATTTCCAGGCACGTCACACAGTGGGATTTAAGACATTAGCAGGAGTCTAATCCCCCCAAAATGAAAGAGAAACATTGTGTGGAACGATTGAAACGCACCTCTTGAGGTGCCAATTTTCCGGAGTAACTGCAGACACCACATGATACGTACAATGTACAACAAAATCACCACTAAGACCAGCCATCGCTTCTCTCGGTCCTAGGAAACTTTAGCTAGGTAAAAATAAAACCGACTAACTACTCCAGGTGGTCTAACTCGGCATTCTAGCTTTTCAGATTTTTATTCCCCTTCTCCCAAGAAAGGCTCACAGGAAATTGGCCCAGCAGGTGAGATGATTCTAACGACTTTACCCTGATGACACAAAACAGCTTTCACTGAGGTATAAAAATTGGAAAGTGAAACTGACCAGGCTTGTTTTATTATTAGGGCTTAGTCAAAGGAATAACAAACACATGGAAACAGGAAAAATAAATTTTTTTAAGTGAAAACTTTTTTTCCATTGCTTTGAACTTTTGGACAGGCTTATAACGTGTTGGTAAGAATAAAGAGATGGCTCTGGATGATTTTTTTTTTTTTCATTCCCAGTCTCCTGCAACCTGAATTCAATGTGATGATTAAACTGTTATTCAATAGGTAATGGAAACTGGTACCTCAGAGTCAACTCGAACGTGCCAAGTGTTCCCAATGACATCATCTTCTACCAAGATGGCTGCTTCTAGCAAACAAATTAGAAAAAATCAGCTGCGATTAATTTCCCTGTCTCTCCTAGGTGTGTTCTGGTGTAAAGCTCCAGAGCTCCTGCACCCAGGCCCTGCTGGTGTATAGAGGGGAACTACCAATGTAAGTAATTCTGCTCCCAGGGATCCGATTTCATTTTTATCAAAACTTCTCTTTACTCCCTGACTCTGCCTTGTTAGGAACCGTAGGCCGGACGACGAGCTTCTTAAATTGGAAAGGGTTTTTCAAAAACGGACTTGGTGGGTAAAAATGGAAGAGTGAAGTTAGCAGCGAGTAGCAAGCCGCGCGGGGAAACCCATTGAACAGCATTCTTTCCACTTTATTCAGCTTGTGATAGGTTCTGAAGAGTGGGTCTGGCTTCCATACTTCACAAGTTTGTATTGTTCCGTCCTATCGTAAGTCTTCCACTTTTAGAGCTTATTGCCACAGGAACATTCCTTCCAGGCAGAGCAGGGGGCAAATTAGCTCTCTTGGAGTTTTTATCACTAAACCAACTGCTTTGGAAAAAGCGGCCCGACGGCTCCGAGTCAGCAGAGGGCGGGGTTTGAAGCGCCTGGGTTTCTTAAAGGGCCCACGTCATGGTAAGCTTCAGATTCTATTGGTTTTCAATAGGATTTGGAGGAAATCTGCATTTTGACATGGTACTTGCGCGCAATAATCGTGTTTAGAAGACTGGGGTTGGGGGGGAGTCATCTTCCAAAGCTTCATGCTGATACAGACGGGAATAAACTGGAGGATATTTTTTTCCACTGTGGTTTTTATTGTTATTGCAAAGCAGAAGCGTGTCTAATTTTGTACTTCTTGTAAAAGTGATTTCCCTTATAAACCAACCATTTATCACAACACTGGCTCAGTAATAGCATTACAATGAAGCACAGTTACAAAACCAATAATGTCATGATAAAACCCCTCAGCTTTCTGGGGCAACTGAATCAGAATGGATGGTGAGCACGCTCTGCCAGAGGAAAAAGAGACAAATTTGGATAATCATTTCCATCGGAGAAATCATGAAACATAACTTCGCCCTAAATTTAGGTTGCAGAATGAAATCAACAATGGAAAAGGATACCTGATCATTCAGCTGTGTCACACAATTTCAGAATCTTTGTGTCATGTCGTTTTTGCAACTAATTTTTCCTGTGTCTTGCGAACTTCAAGTGTTTTTGATAGTAAGCAAAAAGAATGACGTAAATAATAGAAGCTGTATTGCTTAATTTTTCAAAGAAGCTAGCCAGTATTTGGGGATTCGCCTTTTGTTTTGCATTGTTGGAAAAGCAACAGGACATCTTTGCTTCTCCAACCAGGAGAGAGTGCTCCCATCCATTGGATCCATTGGTACACTCCCCCAAATAGTCACAGCAACCAGGCCTGGGACTGAAAATACAAACTTAGAGCCTGCACAGTGGTGTAGCTGGCTAACCCTCCACCTACAGCACCGTCATCCCATATGGACAGACGTCAGTTTGAATCCCAGCTGTTTCACTTCCCTTCTAGCTCCCTTCTTGTGGCTAGGAAAGCAGTAGAGGTTGGTCCAAGTTCTTGGGCACCTCCACCCACACAAGAGCCCAGAAGAAACCCTTGGTTCCTGGCTTCAGTTCAGCCCATCCCCAGTTGTTGCAGCCATTTGGGGACTGAACACACGGACGGAAGATCTCTCTTTGTGTCTCTCCTCCCCTTAACTCTATTTCCAGTAAAAAATCAATCTCTATTAAAAAAAAAAAAACTTGTTTTCATCACTTAAAAAAATAATGAAAGAATACAGTTTTGTCTCCTGCATACATGGCAGGATCCCAGCTGCTTGTGCAATTCCAGCTGCACCTCAGGGTTTCTGTTGGCAGGAAGTTAGAGTCAGAAGCCAGAGCCTGGAGTCAAACCCAGATGTAGGCATTTGAACTGCTAGGCCACATTACCCTGCTGCCCGATTGATGGTGTGTTTTTTGGGTTTTTTTTGTTTTTTTTTTTTTAGATTTATATTTATTAGAAAGTCAGATAAGCAGAGAGGAAGACCCTTTGTCTGTTGATTTACTCCCCAAGTGGCTATAATAGCTAGAGACATGCTGGTCCAAAGCCAGGAGCCAGGAGCTTCTTCCAGGTCTCCCACACTGGTGCAGGGTCCCAAGGCTTTGGGCCGTCCTCAACTGCTTTCCCAGGCCACAAGCAGGGAGCTGGATGGGAGGTGGGGCTATTGCGGTAGAACTGGCGCTCCTGGTACATGGAAGGTGAGGATTTTAGCCACTAGGCCACTGTGCTATGCCCTGCTGCCCAGTTTTTAGTGGCTATAAAAACTGTCTTACTGACTTCCTTGAGATGTCAGAGAATTTATTCAAACTCTGGATTTAGTAAGGTTACTGCATTCACCATAGCATAAATTCGCAGAAATTGAAACTCATCAGTGATGTGCTGGCTATCACACAGAGTGTCAGGATGTAAGTAAGATCCTGGAAGAATGTGCCCCTGTGAGGCTGTAACTTCCTGAAAGTTAGCTGATAATGCTTATTTACATATGCCTGTGCTTTAGAGGCTGTGTGTAGTCGCTGGAAATAAGTTCCTTAGCCTTGGCAATACAGATGTTTGGGTTAGTATAGTCACAGACTATGGAACTGGCCTGTGCATTGCAGGCTGCTTAGCAGCATCCGTAACCTCCACCCACTAGATGCCAGTAGAACACCAACCAAAACCCTTAGGCAAAGAAGTGCCCCCTGTTGAGAATCAAGGAGGACATATCCATGGCAAAGGCAGGCCCATTTTGGTGAGACCTTTCTGGCAATATGCGGATCACATACCACTGAGTCTTCAAGAGACTACTTCTCAGCTCTTGTTGAAAGTCATCTAGCTAGGGGACCCTGGACCAAATACCGCCATCCATACTTCCTACTATGGCCATCTAAAGCCACTCTACTTCCTTAACTTGCTTTTTCCATACTTTCCAGTTATGAACATTAATCTGGCCTTGCTCTTTCAACATCTCACCCCAGCGAGAAATCATGAATACAGAACCAATTTCATAGCTCGTCTCCATCCTTCTCCTTTTGTTTACTCATTATTCTTCATAGGAATCAAAACCACTTATATAGATGACAGAAGAAGGAATTCATCAACTGAAGTAAGAAGAGAATCAAGTAAAACTTTCAGTAATAAATAAAACATGATTTTGCGTCTCTACTTGACAGCCTGCAACACCTAGACATTTCCTTGACAGAGACCATGGAGAACGGCTGACCAGAAAAGAGTTTTAAATCCCCTTCACTATGTAGTAACTCTCACTCAAAGCAGAATCCCAGCCTGTGATATCAAAGAGGATGTTGTGGCCATTTGGGGAGGGAACCAGCAGATGGAAGATTTTTCTCTTCCTGTTTCCTCTCTGTGACTCTGCCTTTCATATATGTAAAGAAATCCTTTAATTTTTTTTTAAAGCAAAATTTACATGTGGCTGGTACAGTGGCATAGCCAGCTAAACCTCTGCCTGTGGTGCCAGAATCCCATATGGGAACCCTGATTCTAGTCCCTGCTGCTCCACTTCTGATCTTGCTTCCTGTTACTGGCCTGGGAAAGCAGCAAAGGATGGCCTAAGGCCTTGAGCCCAGACAGCCTCATGGGAGACATGGAAGAAGTTCCTGGCTCCTGACTACAGAGCATTTCAGCAGCCATTTGGGGAATGAATCAGCAAATGGAAGATCTTTGTAACTCTTGACTTTCAAGTAAAAGAAATACTTTTTTAAAAAAGCAAAATAAAATTTAAAAGAGTAAGAGATAGTCAGAAATACATAGAAACTAAATAGAAGTGCTAGAAGTTAAACATACAGTTTGCTAAGACCCACTAACTAAAGATCAGGAACATAACTGTAGTCAACAAAACTAGCTTTGTTCAACTTTCTAAAGCAAAAGGGAACATACAAAAGAATTGTGTGACAGAGATAAAATGATTTGCACTAAAGCAGATGGTTCAAAGCAGGAAATAAGCAAGATGGCATCAAGAAATGGAGGAATATCGATGATTGAACCTTGAAAACTTCATCTGAGAGGTAGGCATACTAAAGCATTGGCAAAAGAGCATCCATCACTTGAATTAGCCAGAAACGGGATATTTGCGGAGTGAGTGAGCTTTCTATCATGTTATAGTCACTGATGTGGAGTGGTTCTTGTTTTCATTGTTAGCATTATGTCATCTCAGTTACCAACAAAATAATCTAACTGGCAAATACTATCTAAGCAGTTTTCATTGCATTACATGATTACATTTTCAAGTCTAAGAATTAGATGAATCAGCAGATTGGGCACAACTGTAAAGAGAATTAGCAAAGTAGAAGATAGGTCTGAGGAAATTGAATTGCAAAAGAAAGATACATGGATGAAAACACATTAGAATAAATAAGAGGTGTATAAGATGAATTTACAAAGTCCAATATACATCTAAAAGCTATTCATGAACTAAAGAACAAAAAAGAAAAATGAAAAGACATTAAAAGTGATAATGCTCAAGAACATTTTAGAATAATAGAAGCTACATTCTTAGGAGTTACTTTGAGAATATGAGAGGGCAAATAAAAATGAAGTTGTATCAAGAGTAAATTAAGCACACATGAAGAATAATTAAAAGAAAATATAAAGCAGTCTTATATGAAACCAGAAAATAAGGAGAAAAGATGGGTTACCTACAGAGAATAACTACCTACTACTGTAGCATAACCAGATTTCTTAATGGCAGTAATGGGGCCTGGCATAATGGCTCAGTGGCTAACTCCTTACCTTGCATGTGCTGGGATCTGATATGGGCACTGGTTCATATCCCGGCTGTTCCATTTGCCATCCAGCTCCCTGCTTGTGGCCTGGGAAGACAGGAGAGGATGGTCCAAGATCTTGGGACCCTGCACCTGTGTAGGAGACCTGAAAGATGCATTTGGCTCTTGGCTTTGAATCCAGCCACTGTGGCCATTTGGGGAGTGAACCAGCAGACAGAAGATCTTTGTCTCTCCTTCTCTCTGTGAATCTGCTTTTCCAATAAAAGTAAAATAAATCTTTTTTTTAAAGTCAATAATTCATCAATATATTGAGATGGAACAAATGCACCAGGAATTCTTTGCACAACTATACTATCCAAGAAT